GTGGTGGAACTGTTTCTTTTTCGTTGACAAGTAAAAGACTTTTCATTTACTTTTCCTTTACGCGTAACTTTTGGGTCTGATTACCTCGGAAAATACCTTAACCCTAGTTTGGTCACCTGACGGGAACTTGCGACTCTGGTCACCTCCGCGGGGATTTGCCGTCGTGTTATTTAGGCTCCAGCATTGCCGAATTCACTCTACACTGCCCGGGCGCGTTTAACGAGTTTCCAGCAACGTCGCGCAACGAGCAATTTCATTTAACATGGGAAAAAATTGTTCAACTGTTGGAAATGATTTTTTTTTCTTCCAGAATTTGGGATGTAATATTAAAAAAACAATACGAAAATTTTCCAGATACTTTAATTGACGAATTCAAATTTTTTCGGATTTTTCCGGTCAACCAGCCGGTGACAAGACGAAAAAAACGACACGTTGCGGCAATTCCCTCGCATGGTGACCAATCTAGGGTTAAAGAATGAAAATAAAACTGAAGAAATGATTGAGGTTGAGAGGGATTTCCCCGAAATACTCAGCATGAGGTGTCTGCAATATCCACATGAAACCATATGGGTTGAGTTCAACGTACACAAATGTAATCATAAGCAAGAAGTGCCGGGCAATATAACTCGATTCTTCACTTCTCTCATACTCGGGTGACGGACATATGAGCACACATGGGGCCAATGTAGTCTCTCTCTCCTCTCTCGCCACCTGGCACGAGTATTTTTCTCTATACCCTACGGGTTTTTGCACCCCTCAGTCGACTCCCTCCATTTATATATAGCTGTGGGTACTGTCGCTCTACCAGTATAACCCATGAGTCCTGTACATACCCCCAACCCCCTTTGGACTTGGCTCGTGCCACTGTGTATTGTGGTGGGGACTTCGAGGAGGAATAAAATGAGTTGAAAAAAAAATCGAGAAGGGGGCTGCTCTCACAAACCCGGACCTTCCCCTCGTGCAAAACAATTATATATGCGTTTTTTTTTTGGGTTATCAGAAATTTAAGATTTTTTTGAGGTTGATGCGGAAAATTTATGCGGGCGTTGCTCTCCATCCGTTCCATCATTTTTTTTTGTAACTCAATATTTTATCTGCTATTGATTATTCCAGTGAGACGACCCATTTTGTCCCAGGGGTCACAACGATTTAAAGGAAAGAAATCAGTAGCGAAGTGGTAAAGCGGTTTAAGTGGACATATTTCCCACTTGAGTTTTTGAGGAATATTTCCGAATCTAAGGGAGATAGCGAAATTTTCATGATTATATTTGTTGTAGCTCTCAATCGGCTCTACGAAAAAGATTACGAAAAAATTTTGCTATCTCCCTTAGATTCCGAGATATTTATTGAAAACTGGCCAATAGTAAAAATTAACTTATACCGGTTTACCACTTCGCTACTGAAATGTATTCGTTGAAATTCGTCACTGCAAAGTTGCTCTGCTCATGAAATTTTGAATCTCCTCAACTTCTGAGAATACTTACATATTTTGTGTCGTTTTTGGGGAATGGGTTGCGTTGAATAAACGTTTCTTACCAAAAATAGACATTACCACCGTCTGATCAGGACCCCCTCACAGTTTTATATTTAGGATTTCCGTTGGCACGTGTCCCCCAACTTGCCAAGATTCCCCCAGAACTGGTCCTTTCCCCATGCGCAGCTTCTTCATTCGTCAAACTCCAAACGTATAAATCAACTCCGGCACAATACCTCCACCGTCTCGAAATAAAAAATTCAAATAAACCATAACCGTAAGTTCATTCGATTCTGTGACTCCACCATAATCCGAGTTTGAATAATATTCATGAAGACGTTGGCTACCCCATCCTGATTTTTCGTTTATCATCGAGCGGATGTTTAATACGGCTTCCCCCTCGGAGGAAGGAGGGCGCAGACAGGATGAGGTGAGACGTTGAAGAGGTCAAGGGCCCGAGAGTTCAAGATCACAAGGCAAATGAAGAAATCTTCAGCTGCGATTGAACCTCATCTCACTTGGGGGCCCTTGTGACTTTGCCCGACTAATGAATTCCGTCAATTGAGCATCAATTCCAGATGAAACGGCTGCAAAAGCGAATTGAAAAGGTGAAGTTGAGTCGTCACGCCGAGTGCGTCGACTTCCTGCGGAAGTCACCAAGCATATCGTACTGCTCTACATATAGAAAGGGAGAGGGAGTTGAAGGAGGGCTGCACTTTAACCCGGTGTGGCCTTTGGTGGGCGCCATGTGACACGACATTAATGGACAAATAGACATGTCTTGATACTCCGTCCGTTGGGCATTGGCCTGCACATCCATGAGTCGATAAATACCAAGATCCCTCGGAACTACCAACAACATCTCTCTCGAGACGTTTATCGGAGGATTCTGGCACCCACCGGACCCCTCAGTCGGTAAAATCTAGAAGGAGCCCTTCTAAACGGTCAGTTGAGGGCCAACAGCTGATTCTCGAGGAAAAAAAGCGGGAAGGAATTTGGCGGGAAGCTGCTCCACATCCCTCTGTGGAGCCGTTAATTGATGATGGGGAGACACTCTCATCTGCCTCAACGGACCGATCTCTCAGGTTGTCGCTCATTCATCCTTGCGGAGGGGCTGCGGTTAATTAATTTATCCTGTGTTTACTTCCCACGATGAGTCGAGCTGGATTTTTACACATGTGATAGGCTTGCCGCATGTGCTGGCTCGTAATGTCTGTCGGATGTTGGTGAACCGAGTATAAAGCTGGGTTAGTCGGTCCCCGCAGCGCGACGACATGCCTTGACTCATTTTTCTCGTGTTTTCGGAATGATTAGGGAGGGATGGGGAGGGAAGAGCGGTAGGACTGGAATTCTCCGCGACCTTTAATAGTAAAAACTCTTCAGGAGTCGTGGATTTCACTGAAAATCTCGGGATGTCTTCCCTTTTTTTAAAACTTGTCTTGACGTATTTGTTGGCGAGTTTTCTGAAGGATTAGGAGAAGATGGATGATGAGGGGTGGGGACGGCTCTAGGTGAATCCATCCAGGACTACTCATCCCAAACCAATGCATCCCGGACAATTCAGTAGCGACGCGGTAAACCGGGTTAAGTCGATTTTGACTTTTGGTCAATTTTTGATGAATATCTCGGAATCTAAGAGAGGTAGCAAAATTTTTCTTATGATGTTTTTTATAACCCTCAATTGGCTCTACAAAAAAGGTCATGACAAAAAAATTTCTATCTCTGTCAGATTCCGAGATATTCGTAAAAAACTGGCTAATACTCAAAATTGACTCAACTCGGTTTACCGCTTCGCTACTGAATTCATCCCAAACAAATTAATCCCACGACCATTTCATCCCAAACATCAAATTCCAATGGAATTTTTCACGGTCACAACAATAATTCAGGGAAAGAAAAATATTAAATTTATTTTCACTGAAAAAGTCACTAAACACAACATCAAAATCAATCAGATACTTCATGATTCCTTCCTGCGCTGTTAAAAATTTTCGTCTGAACTTTCCGCGTCAAATCCCGGAAATTTTTATCGTCTTTAATTTGTACTGAAATTTCAGGAAATCTTGTCATTGAAAAATCAAATATTCCATTGATTTTCTGTTCGAATGATCTGAAAATCAATCAAATTCTTGATTTTTCGGTCCAATTATTCCGTAAAAATTCCGAAAAATCAGGAAAAGTCTGGGAAAAATTGAAAGGTCATGTCATTTTGTTTCTGAATATTCATGTTCCATTGAAAATTCAATCAAGTCGTGAAATTTCCAGCTCACTCTCTGAAAAGTCATGGATTTTCTTGAATTCTACCTAAAACTGGAAATTTCAGAACCATTTTCCCACTAAATCAGATTCAATGTCACTCTCACGACAATTACTATCATATTTTCTATGAAATTTCGAAAAATTTCTAACAGTGTAGTATTGTTTACACAAGCGATCAACAGATTAACAGGAAAAATTGCAAAAAACGGCCAATTATCCGGGGATAATTCATCCGACTTTGAGTAAAAATCATCTGAAATCGTGTTTTCCGCGAAAGCATCCATTCGCTATAAATCCCAGTTTTTTAAACATACTTCACACCAGTTCCGGTGCAACGACATTTGATTCAACGATTCAATTTCCCGTGATTATTACTAAAAGAAGTGTCCCATTGACGTGCGATAAATCGATTTCCGCTGTGAAGTGTCCTCTTTCGGAAGTGGATAAACCGAAAAGAGAAAAAGGGAAAAATTCTCAACAAAAAAGAAAAGAGAAGCTTGTTTTGCTTTGTCGAGCCGCATTGCCCTGGGAGATTGGAGGAGAAAGGTGGTGGGGGTGACCGTGAGAGTCCTCGAGATTTCGGTCCAGTAGTGTAGTCAACATACGTGAGGGAAAAATTGTTGGAAGAGCCCCAGGAGATGATGAACCATCACATGGTACGCACATGCAACTATTGTAAATGCCAGTGTTCTAGGTTTACTTAAAGCCCAGTGGGCGTTGTTTCCGAGAATATTTGCTCGAGGAGGAGTCGAATGGGTACCTGGGGGTGATAAGACAATGTCAAACAGTTTCCCGTCATCATTCAGGAAATTGGAGGATTTTAAAGGGACAAATTATCGCTTCTCCTGGTAATTCCGTTGGATAAACTCCCTAACAACTCCATTATTCTCCCTAATCACATCAATTGCTGCGCTCATCAACCAAAATTGATACTATCTACATGATTCAGATCTGCTTAACCCCAAACGAACGAGAGTTTGCGAGACTCACTGATAGGGGAGATACCAAATGGCTCCAGCAGCTGTCTGGATGATTCATTCCGTCACGTACTTTATTATCACAGTGCGCTTGGGGTCTCCATGACCCCAGTCACGATACTCTATACACGTAAATAGCACCAGAGAGTATCTGTCATGCTCTCCGTAGGGTGAGGGTGCGCGTTGCGAGGCCATGGGGTGAAGCACAACGGTCGCTTCGTATTTGAAAATTTTTCGTAGTAAATGTAATTGTCTCACTTGTGCATTAAGGCTTGCTTTTTATGTTGCAGATTCCGTGGAGATGTCCAGCCATGGATATGCCGATGAGAACGACGAATCGTGAGTCAAAATCGCATTTAATTTTATGATTTTTCGATTCAAACTCTGAAATTGAATTTCATTCATCGAAATTGGACCATTTGATTTGACAGTTTTCTTGTACATCATGTTCAATTCGAGAATAACTTGTCCCCCTGCAAATATTTGCTTTGTGGCAAATCGACGAAAGTACGGATCCACTTGAAAATCCCTGATGGCTGGAAGTGTGTTTACATGTTTGTGAATGTCTCCATTGAGGAAGTTCGTTATATCCAGCCTCAAAAAAAGACGATAGGAATTTTTGTAGGTGGGATTTAAACGTGCGATTTGTGCCTGCTACGTTTTCCCATGAGGTTCCATTCATGTTAGTTGCACTCGTGCCCTCGTATACCTTGTTTGAGGGAAGAGAGAAAAAAAAAGCATGTGAAAGGAGATTTTGGTAGAATCGTAGAGCGAACCTCAATCTCAATGGATTGAAGGAGATTGAATCCAGCTGACTGGCGCCGTGCGAGGTAGCTTCCTCGAAGCCTCCGTATTCTCTCAATTTCTTTTTCATTTTTCTTCCTCGTTTCCTTGATTCTGGGAATCGGTACCTCGCAAAATAAAGAGGCTGCTGGCTTGTAAGATGAGGCCGTGAGTCGGCTCGTGCGCCAAAGGCACACGGTTTATTGCTCTAAGTAGTTCAGGAATGTTCTATTATGGTGGATCATAATAGAAGTGATGCTGAATAATGTTTTCTAAAGGATTTTGACCGTTGAGATTTCATTTTGAAGAAAACAAATTATCTATGATGAGCTCTATGTAGAGAGAAACATTTTCTCAAATTAATGATGAATGTTCTTCATTCATTCGTGATTTTAGAATCATCTCTTCCTAATGTAGCTATTTATTTTGTAGAGCACTCTTTACAGATAATTATTGAAACCTCAAGGAGTGGATGTGTTTTCGCCAACTTCCGCTTCAACCAAAAAGCCAAAAAATTGCGACAGTCTAAAGGACAATGCAAAGGCACACGGTTCATTGCTCTAAGTAGTTCAGGAATGCATATCATAATACAAGCGATGCTGAGTAATATTTTCTCATGACTTTTAACCGTGAAGATTGCATTCCAAGTGAAAGAAGTCATATATGATGAACTCTACATAAAGAGAAACATTTTCTCAAATCAATGATGAGTGTTCTTGATTCATTCTTGATTTTAGAATTATCTCTTCTCAATATTGCAATTTATCTTGTAGAGCACTCTTTCAGTGCTCAGACAGTCTAAAGGACAATGCAAAGGCACGCGGTTTATTGCTCTAAGTAGTTCAGGAATACGTATCATAATACAAGTGATGTTGAGTAATATTTTCTCATGGCTTTTAACCATTACGATTACATTTCAAGGAAATGAAGTCATCTGTGATGAACTCTACATAAAGAGAAATATATTCTCAAATTAATAACGAATGTTCTTCATTCATTCTTGATTTTAGAATTATCTCTTCTCAATATTGCAATTTATTTTGTAGAGAACTCTCTCAGTGCTCAGACAGTCTAAAGGACAATGCAAAGGCACGCGGTTCATTGCACGGAGAGAAATAATTTTAAAAAATTACTTATCTTTTCCATAATTCCGGAGCAAAATGTGGTTATAGGAATAATAATTTTTCACAGGAGATTTAGGCAAAAATTACGATACCATCACTTAAATTTTCTGAGTCGATTACGTAATTAGTGAGCAAACTGTGAGGTCCGTAATTTTGACTGAACATTTCTCTCCGTGTGCTCTAAGTAGTTCAGGAATGCGTATCATAATACAAGTGATACTGAGTAATATTTTCTCATGTCATTTAACCGTGAAGATTGCATTTTAAGTAAATCAAGTCATCCATGATGAACTCTCTATAAAGAGAACCATTTTCTCAAATTAATAACGAATGTCCTTCATTTATTTTTGACTTTACAATGATCTCCTCTCAGTGTCGCAATTTATCTTTTAGAGCACTCTCTCCAAAAAACCTTTGAACCCTCAAGAAGTGGGTGTGCATTTGCCAACCCCCGCGTTCAACCGAAAAGCCAAAAAATGCAACAGTCCGAAGGACAATGCAACCACCGTCATTTTCTCTATTATAAAATTCCTATGAACTGAAGAAAAAAAAAATGTCGGTGAGTTTACAAAACACCATACCTCTGGCCCCCTTGGGCAACAGGTAAAGATATTTCTGTTACTATGAGAAGTTAGAATGTTAGGATATAAGGTGAACTGGACACAGTGGAGCAGGGCTTTTACAGCACCACCAAACTTTTCCGAGTATAATGGAATAGAAGAAAAAACGACCTCCTGGCAAGTTGGACAACGAATTTTTCGGCATTTTTTGATGGCTCTCTGACAAGGTTTTCGGACCAGTCAGTGCCATTGCCACAATGACATACTGCTGTTCACTATTGTGATCCACCACTTGGTATTTTATTGGACAATTAGGTTGCCTTCAGGTTATGTATCTTTTCCGGTGAAAACAGCACATTCCAGAGATGACGGTTTACCTTTCTTTTCCATTGTTTCACTTCAATTTTTCCTTCATTAGTGTTTTCTTGTGGTTTGCCATTCGAAAAATACAACCTTTTGTACAAATACTTTTTTCTGTTACCCATTTTCTCAAAGAATACGAAGAGTCTTTGTCAGGTGATTGAGATTCGTCTCGACACTTTGAACGATTTCTTCGTATTTTCACGTTAGATTTGTCGAGAAATTGTTCTGGTCAACGGCACACACTCCTCGGGGGAAAAAAATTAGTCACGCCTTGGATATTCCATGTACTTCGAGGGATTCGGCCACACCTAGGGTCCCCCGGAAACTGCTCTTCATGCGCTCGTGCTCAAAAAAACATTTCTCATTTCTTTGTTCTATTGAACAATTCAGGATTGCTCCGATGTTCAGCAAAAATTTTTGATCCAATTTTTTTCACAACTCATCGTTACGTTATTTCAGGCTCATCTCAAGTATCTGAGGCACTTGTTGACCCTGAGAAACGTGCCCATGAATTTTATGACCCCTTGCAGTTGAAATTGCGGTCCTTTAATAGTCCTGATCCCTTAACGCTCGTCAACCACACCGATTTACCGGAAAAATAGATTGCAAATTGCCGTATCCGACACTCAATTTAAAACTAGTAAAATGAAAACCACTCGATCACACGGTTATCACCAGAATTTCCACGAATAATGTTTAAGAATTTAAAAAATGGCACTGGGAGATGATTTTTGGGGAGGACGTTGTCGTGAGGGACCGGAAAGAAAGAGTCAACCCTTTTCTCGCACGGATTTCATTCATCCTTTCATTCCATTCAGATGTGGACATACATCCGCCAGAGATTCGCCGCAAAGTGACTTTGTTCGGCACTTGCAGTCGTTCCTCAACGGATCCTTTTGAGGGGAATTCCTTTCGACTTCCGTTGATCTTGGTGGTCCCAGGCTGTTTTATTAATTTAAGAAAACGAGTGTCTGAAATTAATACACTTTTGTCACTTTTTAAAGACATTTTTTATGGCTCAAATTAAGACATTAAGACATGCATTACAGAGATTCTAGGTATTTTACTCGAGAATCTTTCGGTTCGACTCATACAGCATTCATTTTTTCACAATGCTTGACTGTTTTAAGGGCCAGATTAAGGTTTCATATGGTCACAGGGGTCAGATTAAGGTTAAGATTAAGATCAGATGAAGGGTCCAAATAAGGGTCATGAGGGTCAGGCACTAAATAAAGGACACAAGGGTCAAAATAAAGATCTCAATATTGTAAAAGTCCAAATCGAATTTTGGTGATGACAATTTGGTGCTCGAAATTAACACTCCAAAATTAAGGATCAGAAATGACGGGTCAAAATGAGAGTCGCGAGGCTCAGGTTGAAGGTCACAAGGGTCAGATTAAGGGCTACAAGAGTGAGAACAGATTATGGGGGTTGGCGAGCGGAGCGAGTTTTTCACGGTTTATAAATATTGTAAATACTGACTGTTTTATTTTTTAATAAAAACATGATTAGCCAAAAAAAAATTGTTGGCATCATTCGGGGTAAAAGAGATTTGGAATTTTTTAATCTAAAATCAATGCATTATAGAATATTGATTTTAACTTCTAATTTATAGATAATTTTCTCCTCTACACGTTGTTATTTTTTATTTTGGAATTGATTGATTTGGGCGGAAAATATCAGGGTTTTTGTCGCTAAGGTTTGAAAATCGATGGTTTTTAATTAATTTAAATAATACGCCGTTCAAATATTCTCCAAACATTTAAATAAAATGTTGGACAATTTTTCTCCTCCAGTCGTATTATTAGCGAGGGTCCAAACACCTTCATTAACCGGACCACACTTCACGAGAAAAATTGCTATTTAGTCTTTCAGATTTCTGATAATTCTTGTTGTCGATCTCCACGACGGATAATAAAGCTGTTGGTCAGGACAGTCGTTACCTTGGCCCTGGAATACATACCCAGGGGCCCACCCTCGAGTAGAAACCAATTTATCCCGCTCAGAGTGTCCAACCCCAGGCGGCCAACCTTTCGCACCATGATTATACATTGGAATCTTTTTCTTTTCTTTCATCTCTCACTCCCTTTCGTTTTTTTCTTCCTGTTGCTTTTTTCTCTCCTTGGGCCTTTGAAAATGTAACGGATAGTCCTGAGAAACTGGGCGAGAGTGTCCTAACGATCAAATAGTAACGTGCTGCCAAGATTTTTCGATGTCTGATCTTAGATAAAGGTGATTGGTTCTGGTCGATAAAGGGAATCAGTCAAAATGTTGGGGAAACTCGGGGTTCATTAACGAAAATTCAATCGTTTGACTTATGATGTCGATGAACATATGTAAACACTTTCAATTTCCAATGCATTAGCATGTTTTCTCGGGCAGTTGGGACTCATCTTCAAATTCCTGGGGGTAATTAATCAAAATTCTCTTGGGAGAGAATTTTTTCCGAGTTGTTGATGCCTTTGAGATGAAAGTTACGAATTAATTCGGTTCGTGGACCATTCGAAGA